CAGAAAGGTCCTATTTCTTTGCTGGCTTGTGAGTTTCTTGAGGTCAGGGGTGTGCCTTATTTGATTTTGAACTCCTGGAATAGGCATGCAGTTGGATAGAAATGCAATCAACACCCAGTCTTGGACTGGAAGAGCTTACAGGCTAGTGGGGAATACAGACAGGTGAGGTCTATGTTCTCAAAGCAGAGATAAACTCAATGGTGGGAAGAAGGCTGGGAGGGAGGAATCAGGAGAATGTGTCTCCCACAAACTCAAATAGTGTCCTTTGAAAAAATTAAGGACAGGAAACAAGAAAAAATGAAGTACTTACTTAACCCTGATACCCTAAAGAACTGAAAACATACAATAAATAAAGAAAACTGAAGCCTTGAAAAACAGTTTGGTAGTGTTTCTTAAAAATTAAATGTAAACATTCCATATGACCCAGCAATTTAATTCTTAGGAATCTAGCTGGGCAGAATGAAAATTGTGCGGCTGAGCGCGGTGGCTCATGCCTGCAATCCCAGAACTTTGTGAGGCCAAGGCAGGCAGATCACTTGAGCTCAGGAGTTTGAGACCAGCTTGGCCAACATGGTGAAACCCTGTCTCTACTAAAAACACAAAAATTTGCCTGGCGTAGTATCGTCCCAGCTACTCAGGAGACTGAAGTGGGAGAATTGCTAGACCCCTGGAGGCAAAGGTTGCAGTGAGCCGAGATCATACTCCAGCCTGGGTGACAGAGCGAGACTCTGTCACAAAGAAAAAAAAAAAGAAAACATCTGTGCACACAGAGACACGTACATGGAATGTTCACCGCAGCTTTATTCATAATACCTCAAATCAGAAACAACCCAAATGCCCATCAACAGACAAATGGTTAACCAAATGTGGTGTATATCCACACAATGGAATACCATTCAGCAGTCCGAAGAACTCCTGATAAATGCTATAGCACAGATGAACCTTGAAAACATGCAAATAAAAAGAGCCGAACTCCAAAGAGGATGCATTCTATGAGTCCATTTATAGACACGTCCAGAATCAGCAAATGTTGATGGGGCCGGGGAGCAGCTGCCCAGGGCTGGGGATGAGAGCGGGAATGAACTGTCCACGGACACGAGGGAATTCTGTAAGATGACATAAATGCTCTATAATGGGACCCATGCATTTCCTAAAATCACTGAATTGTACACCTTCAATTGTATACTTTTAATTTTTTGGCACACAAATTTTATCTAAGTAAAGCTGTTACAAATAACAAAACCTGGTGCCAAGCCATCCTTCTATCCACGGCTGAGACGTGATTCATGAGAGGAGATGAAGGCAATACCCGCTGGCCGACTGCAGGCGCGATTGCCGTAAACTGTCACTTTTCCTATGTTAACTTTTTGATCTTACCCATTTCTAAAATCCAGTAACAGCAGCTGGCTTTTAGTGGGTAGCACCATCCCAACAAGACAATACTAATATCATCCCATTTTTCCAGATTATCAAACAGGATCAGAAAGGGAAAGTAACTTGCTCCAGGGCCCACAGCTACATTCTGCCTCAACCCTATTCTGCCTGATTCTAGAAGCTGTGCTCTTTGCCATTGTTATTTGCTCCTATTCCCTCTACCTGCCCCCTTCCCCACTGATTCTGTGACCTCAGGGAGAAGAGCATGGTGCTGCTTGGTCAAGCAAGGCAGAGTCCATGCTTCCCTATCTCTCTGCAGCCAACAGCACCTTGCACGCAAGTCTCCAGCAGCAGTAAGCCCAGAAGCGCCCTTAACTGCTAAGCCGAAAGGCCTTGATTTGTGCAAGTAGCACATTTTGGTCAAACAACACTGAACAGGTGGTGACATCGGTTTCCACCAGGAGCATGTAGTTACAAAAGCCCGTCTGAGTGTCCCGGGTTTTAGCAAAGATGAGCCACCAGTCAGGGATAGAGATGACCTAAGCTTCAGCAGCTGGCCTGCCAGATGAATTTCTGGCTTGAGCTCTTCACTGGGAGCTGAGTTCCCAGGGAGCACTCGAGCAGAGGCCCCGCGGTGCCTTTCTTGCCTGTCTGCTGCGGTGGGCACACCCTTGCCTGGTGGGAGCTGGCCATGGCCTCCCAACCTCTGGTCTCTGACAGACAGAGCCCATTGTTCTCTTCTCCTGCAATGTAGCATCAATAGTTCTGCCTCTTCCAGGGCAAGATATGAAGAGGCCATGCAGTAGTTTGAAAGTTTTCCACAGTCTGCCTGTCAAGCCCAAGGAAGCTTGAGAATGCTGTCAGCATAGGAGGGAGGGGGCCCCAGACACTCAGAGGCCTTTTCTGTGATAGGCTGAGCCTTGGGCATAGTGAACTGGAGAATCTTCTCTTTCCTTGACACACCCACCCCAGACACCTTGACTTCCAGCCACTCCTCCCACAGGTCAGGCCCACGCCTGCCTCCTGGTTTTTGCCAGTACTGTTCCTGCTACTGGGAGCACTCTTCCCTGGGCACCAGTCTTGCTCCTTCCTTCACCTTGTCAGGTGTGTACGCAAATGCTCCCTCCTCAGGGAGGCCTCCCCTGCTCACCCTATTAAAAACCACAGTCCCCCACCCCAGCCCGTTTTCATTTTTCTCTATAGTATCTCTTACCACCTGCGACACTATCTATTTCACTCTATTTGTCCATCTCCCCTTCCAGAATGTAAGCTCTACAAGGAAAGGGAGTTTCACCTGTCTAGTTCTGCATCTGGACTGCCTAGACCAGAGCCTGGCATGAGGGCAGTGTCAAGCAGTTATTTCATGAAGTAATGAACTTCCCCATCACAGCACAGCCTATGAGCAGCATCTCCGCAGTGACCACCCAGTGCCAAAGACACCAGGGGAGACTTTGTCACAGCAGCTGGGCTACCCAAGCCTACTCAGAGGTGACTTGAGCCAGTCTAAGAGAAACTGGTAAGGAACTGGTTAACAAGCCATGTACTAATAGAAATGGCAACACTAAGATTCTTCACTTCATGCCCCTCCATGCCTGCATAAAACCATATTGGTGCTACCTGTGGATGCTTGCTGATTGTCATGCCCTCTTGGGCCATCTTCCTGAAAGGCTCTCTGAAAGTATATGACACCACTGGATATAACCTCACGAAGGTATTTTCCACGCGAGATGAGAACCGGGTGGCCGTAGATTCTGCAACATCTCATTCCTCTGGCACGCTGATGACATGATGTGCAAATTCTGGGTAAAGGGAGAAGCCCAGACAGGACATGGCCAGGGCACAGGACGAGTGAAAGGAGACTCAGTCACATGTGGCCTGGACCTAATTTGTCTGAGCTTAGTTCGCTCAATGCAGAGCTGCTCCTACCCAGGTCCACTGCCGTGGGCCAAGACTCTTGAGCTCACCCATGTTGCCAGGCTTCACACCAGGGGATTGACAGAAGCCCTCTGCTCTGTGGTCACTCCGCAGACAAGACTTGGGGGGGGCGGGTGGCAGTGGACTTCTTTCTCCCAAAGAACCTGCAATTCTGTCTGCTGTAAACTAGACTACAGAAACACAGGTGTTAAAGCACTGTGGCATCAGAGCTTGGAATTCCAGCTCTGCCACTCAGTTGGATAATCTTGGGTGATCCCTTAACCTCTCTGAGCCTCAGTTTCCTCATCTGTAAAATGGGATAACCACAGCCTCTGCTTCACTGGAAGGCTGTGAGGCTGAAACTTGATAATTCCTATGTGCAGAGCCCAGCACCTGGCATGTAGTGAGAGCTCCATGTTAGATCTTCTTGCTGCTGTTGTTGTAAAATAAAGGGAGAAGGGAAGTCAGACCCTAGCCACTTGCTCAGGCTGGCTGAAGACCTCCAAGGTTATCAGAGTCCTGAGGCAGTTGATTTGCCAGTAATTAAGGGAACAGAAATGCAGCCTTTCTCCTTTGGGTTTCGGAATCATGTAGACTTAAGCAAAACCAGCCTGGATGGAAACTTTTCCACGGCCATGGGAATTATTCCAAAGAGGGGCTGCCTGGGCTAAAAGTGTGACTCTGGAAAGGAGGAAACGGGACCCTAAAGCCACTAAATCCCCGAGTTTATAATTAACAGACAAGCATTTGCTCTGCCTGTTCCGGAGCCATGTGGCTCGCCGGGGAAGGGCACCATAGTCACACAAAAATAACCCCCCAGTGGGTTTTTGATGTGTTGAGCCTCTTTGTTTTTCTGAATTTTAATGAAGGGCTTTTTAGGCACGATAAGAGAAGCACTCAGCGCTCCCCATGGCCGAGGAGTGGGCCTTAGTTAGCTGCTGCCAGCCTAACCCAAAGCCGCATGGGCCTAACCCAAAGCCTCCTCCAAGAGAAGCAGGCAGGGAAGGGGCTCTGTCCTCAGATGAGAGAATCTCAGGGAGGAAAAGAGAAAAACAAAAACAAAAGACATCTCAGTTTAGGGGAGGGGTGGGGCTCTGCTCCTGATCCCAGCACATCTTGGAACCAGGCGGTTATAATACTTGCAGCTGTGGAGAAGGCAGCCACGTATCTGAAAGGATGAGGAGGGAGGCCCAGGCTCCGTAAGAGAGGGCTTCCATGGAATTCCCAGGGCTGCTGGCTGGCCCCTTCCATGAGATTCAGAAACAAGGCTCTGGGAACCTGTAGTAGCTTTTGGAGCTCAAGGCATGGATTGCAGGAAGAGGGGAGAAAGGAGAACGTTGTCAGAACAGCTACCAAGCCCTGATGAAAATGAAGAATGGGTCTCCTTCTCCCTCCCGCCTCCTGCTCCCTCCGCTGCAGCTGCCTGGAAGCCTGTGATGCAGGTGGCAGTGCAGCGTCACTAAGGTCACAAACAGAGGGCCCAGAGCACCACAGGAGGGGAGGCCCCACCCCAGAACCCTAGCAGGCAACTCTTTGAAACCTCCCGAGAAGTGGACAGCTTCCAGTAGGAGTGCCCACTCCTCCTCCTCCTGAAGCAAACTCTCCCACACGCTCCTCTACTGTGAGTTTCGAGTTCCTATCAGCTGACTTAAAAACTGTTCTCCTTCACTTGGCAATAAACTTTTCCAAGAAGAGACTGGAAAGAAAGGGAGGAGATGGCACAGGATAAAGCAATTTATTGCAATTGAATTATCCAATGTGGTTGACTGAATATAAATATTTTTATTACAAAATACTCTATGTAAAAATTTGGAGCTGCTTGCAAGCTTCTTTAGCTTTAAGCTCATTGCATTTTTTCATGTCTAGAGAGTGGGTGATGGGCTCAGGTGTGCCTGGGTTGCCCTGCAGGGTCCTCCTTCTCTGTTTGCAGTGGGTCCCACTCAGTGAGGACCTCTGAGGACACATCAGTGAACAGATGGTCCCAGTCCCAGCCGACGTCATCCTGCCAAGAAGAGTACCACTGGGTAAGACAAAAAAAGGCCTTTTCCCTCAACTGTAGCTGACTTCCCCCACCCATCCAGGCCTCAAGGAGGCACAGGTCAGCCTGGGAGTCACTGGTTATAGGAATGCCAAAGCAGAGAGGCCAGGGAACTGGTGCCGCCACTGTACCTCCCGGACTTCGTGCTCTGGCGCAAGCACTTTGGTGAGGAGTTTCAGGTCGATCTCCCCATCCTGCAAATGCAAACAAAAGAGGTCAGGCTAAGCACCTTGAGGGCTTTCAGGCAACTATTTCTTGCAAAATCACGATCAGTTTTTGTGTGTCAGAACTTCCCGAACTGAGACCTCCAGACATGCCTTCAAAGAGAGTAAAATTACGAATGAACCCCCTGGCCACTGGGAAATGAGGGAAGGCTATGCTTCCTACATGCTGGGTGTGCTTTGGGGCAAAGGACCATACTGGGAGGGCAGAGTGTGACAGCAGCATACCCACAGGGACAGAGGGGAGTGGGTGCCATCAGGTACCAAGTGGGCAGCCATGGAGGCAGGTGGGAGCCTGGCACTGAGAAACACTGGACTATGTTGGGTCCAGGCTTGCTGTGAGGTGATCAAGGATAAAACCTCCAGCAGAGGTATGGGTGCTGGGCAGCCAGCCTCAGGGACTGCTGGAGATGCTGTATAGCTTCAGAGGAACTGAGAAATCTCTATGGCTGTTGCTTGTAGCCTGCCTCTCTATGCAGAAGCCGTTCCACTCACCAACGTCTGAATGGCTGAGTACTTCATGAGGTCATTGTCTAGGTCTCGGTAGGTCATCACCCGCTTTACCTGGATGCTGAAGGAAAGAGAGAGCAAGAAGAGGGAACCCCAGGCAGGACCTGTTTCAGGAGTGCTGCCGGGCCACCATCCCCAGAGCCTCGTACACAGCTGGGGATGACCAGAATGGGAATAACATGTCTTAACAAAACGGGAACCCTGGATGGAGCCCGACACCAGAAAGATCTGGATTTACACTGGGGGGTGGCAAAGGGCCACTGTAGATAATATTTGGAGTATATTAATTCACCTATTCTCTGCCTCCCTAATCATATCCGATTTAACCTACCTGGGAGGGGCTGCGACCTGCAAAACAAAGTCTTCTTCTTGTACTTCCTCCAGATCCGGAATGATAGGAATATCTGCAAGGAGAGGCAGAGGCAGCCCTGTCCGCAGAACTCATAGGGATTGCGCCTGCTTCTCCACTTCTTACTCACTCCTCTTCAACACACCAGCCATGAGGCTGTGAGCTGGGGCAGGAATTTAACTAGGGGTAGGATCAAAGGTGGAGCTTCAACGATGTCTGAATCCCAGCCTCACCCCAGAACCTGCTATAGTAGAACCTCCTGGGTCAGGCTCAGGCATCTGGATTTTTTTCTCAGGAGTTCCCTGGCGATTCTGATGCATGCAACAGGTCAGAAGTCACTGAAGTGGGTCTCCAAGGAGAAATGTAAAGAAATGAGACTCCCAGACAGCACGTGAGGAAGGTGTTGTTAGAAGAGAGGAAAGAAGAGGAACTAACAAGTGAGCCTGGCATGGTCAGGGACAGAGGAACTGAGAGTGTGCAGTGTCACAAAGCGGATGCGCATTAGCCCCGGAGTGCAATCGTCATGGCCCTCAGCCTGCATCTGAAGGGCATCTTCCACCTAATGACACAGCCTGACTCCTCGGGATCCGGGTCTCCATTCAGTGGGTCTAATATAATCAGTGATGCTGATTCTATGATTGTGCTTTTCTTGCTGTCTCAAGATTTTCCATCTCTGAACTCTCCAGACAACATATGAAGAAACATGAGGCCATTTCTTTCATCAGTTCAACAAAATCATGCAAATAGAGAAACTGGGAAACCAGTCCATCCCTTAACTGTGGCAACTTGCCTAAGTGACCAAAAACTGTCCATGTTCTCATGGGTCAACCTAACACCCTAAAGAAACATCTCCTCCCCCAAGTGAGTATCACGGACTGGTTGAGAGATTTTGTTTTAAACAGTCAGGGGTGAGGGAGAAGAGAGAGATGGTACAAGAAAAAGGCCTGGTGGGGTGAGACAGTCCTGGATTTCCTAAGCCAACTGTAAACACAGAAAGAAGGAAAAATCCCACAGAGGGACAAGCGAAGACATCCTTCATTTCTGCTTTCACGGGTTGACTTCAATCTTAGTTTTAAAATCATTTCAAGAACAGCTGAGAAGAAGACCCTTGCCACTTTCAGGCAATTCATGATTTAGACTTTTCGATCACTCTAGTCAAGCGACGCCAGAGGATGGAAATGTCAGTTCCGAGCCTGGTGTCTTTATTATGACTTCCGACTGTGGAGGCACAGATGTTGTACCCGGAAAAAGAGAGCATGGAAGGGAGAGACAGAGACAGAGAAAATTCAACAGAAAGAGACGGGCAGAGAAAACAAGGGATAGAAAGAGCGAAAGGGGATAAAAATAAAAAGGAGTTGCTGATAGGGAAAATCAAGAAGAGACACATCCACCACCCCCCAAATAATGGACCACATTCAGCAAGTCTTACACCTAGAAAGGAGCTGTTCAGAGCTTAGATTGTATCTCTCTGTCCTGCTAGAGAACTGGAGACTTGAATGCTCTAAGATTCTATTTCTTATGCTAATAGAAAGTTAGCTTGCTTTCTCCCTCCCGCTCTGCTCTGTGTGATTAATACAGTCCATTGTGCAGGCTGCTGAGAGTGTCATTCCCAAGGCTGGTAAGGCTGCGCAGGCCCTGCGGAGGGCTGGGAGGAAGCTGGCTGAGCCGCGCTCCATCGGCAGTGTGACAGTTTTGGAGCACGCCTGGCTCTCCTCGGGTGCAGAGTCCAGCCTGAGATGAATATTCAGAAGGTGGTAAGAAAATGCCCCATGCTGAGTTTGGGGCTCAGGACAGGGTCTTCCCGAACTCCCCTTTCCCTCCACAACTTTAGCATTTGGGTCCTGTCAACTCTGCCCAGCGTCTTGGGGCTCTGAGGAATTGCACTTCTGCCCGATGTCCACTCTCTCTCTCCACGGGCTTCCCTCTTCATCCCCAACCCCCTTCTCCAAATGTGCACAAAGAGTGTGGGGCTGGCCCATCTGTGACAGATCAGAGGTCAGCTCAGGCATTGGCAAAGGGGCCGCTCAGAACGGTGCTGGTGGGGCTGGCCACACAGTGGGATTTCTCTCTAATTGGAAGCCTGGTGCCCAGCAGAACCCGGTGAACCGCCTGAGTGGGACAGAGCCAGCAATGACAGCCAGGCCAAGGCAAGCTGGAACATTCTTGTGCAGTGACAGCTTGAGCCATAGCAGCAGAGGCAGGCCATCCAACTCCAGCCCCCAGCAGAACAGGTGTCTACAGAGCAGTTTTTGGGCAAACTTCAAAGAACTTCACAATTTTACAGTTTCTGCAAGTGCTCATGAGCACATATGTTCTGCAGAATTTTATTTTCTCTTTATCTCTTTCCCTCCTCCCTGCTCCCCCACTCTCACATACACCATGAACGAACACAGAAAAAAGAAAACAGACTTAAGAAACCAGCTTCTTCACAAAATTACCTCTGAGGAGTGACCCGGTCTGCGTCCAGTAAGAGGCAGTGACTTGACTAGCAAAGGTGGAGGGTAATGAGGCTTGCTTCAGGTTGTAAAGTTTGCAATGCGAAGCACATGATTTTAACAGAGACAGTACGAGGAAGACGGCAGTCACTCTGGTACTGTTGAAAAGCAACCACCGTTTTCAAAAATTTTTCTTCAATGTTGCTAATACCGAGAAGAACGTGAATGGCTGCAGTGAGGTCAGGAGCATGCTGTGTCGGCGCACTCCTGCTCCACGGTTAAGAGGCAGGTTCTGGAGGCAGGAGGGTCTGCTCCAAACCCAGGCTCCACCACCTACTAGTTGTGTGACTTTTTCTCTCTATGCCTCAATTTCTTCATCAATAAAATGAAGGTTGGACTCACGCCCACCCATTCAGTTGCTGTAAGTATTAAATGCAATGATTTTTATAAAATACTAGCACTGTGATCAGTATAGAATATTCAATAACTATTCTTATGGACTTAACCAATATTCTAATATTACGTATGTAGAGGAACTATATGACTCCACCTTCATTTTCAGCTGCCCAGTGGTGGCCATTTTTCAGAAGAGAACACTGAGGCTAAGCAAGATTCAGCAGCTTGCATGGGGTGAAACTATGAATAATGGACTGAGCCAGGCTTCCCACTTCAATGTGGCGGCAATGGCTGAGCTCTGCCACACCCCACACGGGCTTTCTTCTCAAAAGTGAAATGCGTTCAAAGACACCTCCTCCTACAGTGAAGGGGTGAGACAGCTGCCTATGCTCAAGGCAGCTTTCACTCAATGTCCTCTGAAACTTAATGTCCTCTCTTCTGGGGTCTTTCTCTTGATTCCAGTAACTACAAATCCGCTAAGTCCTCTCCCTTACTGTAAACCCCGACTCGCTACTTCTGTACAAGGCCAAATGGAGCAGAATAAAAAACATGTGCCACCAACCCTATCTTATTAAACCAGCCCCAAGGAGGAGGAGGCAGCCAGGCACCTTGAACAGCCCGAGAAGGTGACGCTGTGACACCCCCGGCACCATGGGAGCTGGTATCCCCAGTTTTTGTCTCAGTTCCCCGGAAGGCAGTGAGTGCCACCCTCTCACGGCCATGCTGTTCTTCTTAAACAGAAGACTCCTTCTTGCCTTGTGCACTGCTCCCTGGCTCAGTGTTAGCTGTTTCATAGCTGTTCAACCTGTCTCTGCCCCACATGGTACCTGGTCAGCCACGCTGTAGGGAAACTCCATTTGTCTGCTTGTTCATTCATTCATTCATAGATTCATTCATTCATTCATAGACTCATTCATTCATTCATTCATTCATTCATTCATTCATTCATCCATTCAAGGATACTGATGGAGCACCCACTATGTGAAAGGTACCATGCCAGTAACAACAGCAAGTAAAATAAACATGGTCCCTGCCTTCATGGGGCACCAGTCTGGTAGAGGCTAATAAACACAAAGAAAGGTACTGCTTACAAATTAAAATACACACAAAGAAAGAAACCAACTGGATCTCATGACGGAAAGTAACAGGGAAACCTGATTATTTTTCCACAACAAAAGTAACATTATAGGTAGTAATAAATTCAAGTGCTATAGAAAGGCTTAGAATGAAAATGTCCCTTCCTTCTGTGAGACCCAGTCATCTCCCTATAGATAATCACTGTTAACGACTTTTTCATATTTATTTACTGAAAAGAATTCATGAATAACACAGCATGTATGTCCTTCGAAAGTGTTCACAAATGGGATCACACTACACAGACACTGTTCTGTACCTTGCTTGTATCTTTCCTTACATGTATTTTTACATACATGTATTTTTTCTTTTAAATGACCTTCTCATATTCTATTGAACACTGCTCCACAATGCGTTTAATCCAGTCCAGAGAGGATTTAATTTGGGCGTGTGGGATTAGAGTTAGTAGGGTTAGGATTGAGCAGTTAAAGGAGGAAGGTATTTCTGAATTGAGGACAGGGCAGCTGAAGCTGAAGGAGGAGCAGGATTCGGCCAGGTAGGAGAAAACATGCGCAAAGGTGCTTGGTGGTGAGAAGTAACTGGCCACACTGGAGAAACTGAAGACAGGACACTGTGGTTGCGCTATGCCAGACCCCTTCCAAGGCATGACGGGGGAAAACCCAGAGGGACTAAGCAGGATAGAAAATGCACGTCCCCTCCTTAGTGGCGCGCTTCTGGACCTAACAAAAAGAAATAAAGGCTTCCTACTTTATCCTTCCATAATACTTTATTCGTGGCCACAGGGTAGCCCTCACTACCTTGCAGGAGGTAGAGTACATGAAATTTGCTCCACATCTGCCCCCTGGATGGTGAACTAGCTGAGAGCAAAGGCCACACCCCAGGTACCTGTGCATTCCAAGGACTGGAAAAATTAGGAAAAAAGAACTGCAGTCACCACACACCCCTCAGATCAGGAAGTGACACACCCGGAAAAGCCACATCAACCTTCTCTACATTATTCCAATTAGAATTGCTATTGAGTCCTGCTATTGCTGCCTGAGTAGGACTCATTTCACAAGAACAACCAAGAGTAATCCTTGGACACTTCCTGGCATTGATAACATCATAGAAAAGGCTTTGGCTTCCTTCA